GGCTCAGGGGGACGGTGGGGCTTTGGAGGGGGGAACAAAGCTTCTCTGGGATGAGATTGGGGTACCCGAGGGTGGCAGGGGTGATGTGCATGCGGCTGAGGCTGTCCCCGTCCCCATGCAGATGGTGACGTCCCCAAGGTCATGGCGCGTGCTGGTGGCCGTGGCCCTCTGTGCCCTCCTGTGCCTGGGGACGCTGGCGGCCGCCTACCCCCCCAAGCCTGAGAGCCCCGGGGACGACGCCTCCCCCGAGGAGATGGCCAAGTACTTCTCGGCCCTGCGCCACTACATCAACCTGGTGACACGGCAGAGGTGAGTGTGGAAAGGCACGCGTGAGCCCAGTGACAGGTGTGCAAGCCCCTTTGCATGCTCATGCCCACACAACCCACCCCCCACCCTTCCCCCTGTGCCCTGTTGCACACAGCTGGCGGGTCCTGTTTGCACGCCTGCTCCCGTTTCCACGCTCATGTATGCCCCTTTGCATGTGTACCCACGTGCTCTGTATCCTGCAGGTACGGCAAGCGTGCCAGCCCTGAAACCCTGGTGTCAGAGCTGCTCCTCGGGGCCAGCAGTGACAGGTCACGGTGAGTGTCCCCATCCCTGTCCCCATCCCCATCTGTCCCTGAGGGCAGGGAAAGGGGCTGCACCCTCTCCTGCACCCTACTTGGGGGTGTCCTAGGGGCAGTTTGGGGTCCCAAAGGGTGTTGGGAGGGTCTAGTCCCCCTTTTTCTCACGCCAGCTCTTCCCCGCAGGTACGACGATGACTCCGCATGGTGACCAGCACCACCCCAACCCCCCCGTCCCCCGAATCCTCCCCGTCCCTCTGTGTCTCCCTAAGGGACCCGGGGCTCAGCCGCAGGGTGGTCCCCAGCACCCGGGGCCAGAGCAGGCCCCCCCCCACCAGGAGGGCTGGGGAACCCCCAGAACCCGGCCCGGGGGTGTCCCACCGGGGGGGGCCCTGACCCCATCCCCTCCCCACCGCTGTCGGGGGGGTCCCACGTGGGGGCCCTGCACGCCCCCGCCAGTGGCAATAAAGAGCACGATCGTGGGCACCCGTCTGGGCTGTGTGTGCCGGGCCGGGGGGACAGGGGACAGAGGGGTGTTGGGGAGGATGGAGGAGAGATGGAGGGGTGCAGGGGGGGATGACAGAG